CAATATGATTAGTGTCAGAAACAAAAAGGATGTCTGGTATAAAGTGAATTAATACTTATTGTCTCATAAACTTCTAAGCACTTTACTTGTACTTATTCATTTAATGCTTAAAATGGCCGTATGATGTTGAGTACTCTTTCCCATTTTATAGGTGAGGAAACAGACACAGAGAGGTTTGATAACTTACTCAAGATCAAACAGCTAGTAGGGGGTAAAGCCAGGATTTTGACCTACATTGTTGGTCGTGGAGACCATGTGCTTAAACATGACATTATTTTGTTATCACTATTATTTTTTTAAAAACATTACTCTGGAAGCTCTGGACAATATTAAAAAAATGGAATAAAAATAAAGAAGTATCACTATAATTATGGGGAAGGATAATAACTTTGCTGAGACTCAAGAGAGACTACTGAAATCTCCTAGAAATATTAAGGCAGTAAACTAATTGGCTGGACACACCAGCAAAAAGTCATATACCATACTTAGGAATAATATTAAGAAAAATGTTCAAAGTCTACGTGGAAAAAACATCAAAATTCTACTTAAAGATATATTAGACTTCAGTAAATTAAATCTCGCCATATTTTTGGTGAGGAATGTGAATATTTTACATGTGTAACTATTTAATGTTAATGGCTTCACTGCAATTTAAAGGTCATATAAAAACTGCTGTTAGTACTTTATAACTATTATTGTTCTCTTCTAAGATATCATATCAATATTTGAATTTTACCATCATAATACAACTTAGTTTTCTTAGTTTTTGTCGTGTTGAAGAATTCTGGCTAATATTTTAAAATAATTATTTGGTACCAACATTTAATATATCCATAATGATCATTAATAAGCACATCATCAAATTCTATAGCCATCCTAAAATACTTGATGAATAAATTAATAAAAGTTGATTTTTCTAGTTTGCCTCATTTTTCTGGAATCATTTTCTTGTTTTGCAGATTAGTCATACAAACTACCAACACTATAGAATTTAATTACCAATTGCAAAGCCATTTTCATAGTCATAATTATATTCTAGGCAATATTTTTTGGTCAGGTCCTCCAATCTGCAGTCAATATCATCAGCATCACTACAAAATGATGGCACCTGAAAATAAAAATGAAGAGGACAAAATCACATCTCTATGTGCTTTCAACAAGCCCTTTGGACCCCTGGCCACCACTCCTCCAACAGCAGGAGGGTAGAGTGTGCCCTCCCAGTTCTGCATGTTCCGCAAGTGTCCTGACCCTCCTCCCTCACAGCCTCTAACTGCCTGTAGACCACCAAAATTAGTCCCATGCCTTTTATTTCTGTTTATGTCACTCCTCGTGAGAAGTCTCCAGGCCTCCTGGGACAATTTTTGTCCCTAACCTTTCACCCCATGTGGCTCTTTGGATCCCTTTCTCTGACCCCATCTACCATTCCTCTCCCAGTCCCCCAAACCTTCCTTTATGCCTTCCTGAAGCACAGTCAGTAATCGGCAAATTTCCTATTGTTTTCTGCCTCCTCTCTCCATCTTCCCTTCACCTTTGCTCTAAAAGAAAGCTGACTTTCCTGTTTTGGGGAATGTTTTCCAGAAAATATTCTAGAAATGTCAGACATTCCAGAATCCTGCAATTTGGGGTAGGCATGGAGGTAGAGGAAGAGTCCTCCTCACTCCTTGCTGTTTCCAGATCACATTCCCTCACACCTCAAAGCCTCACAGTCCCGAAGCTCGTGCCATCAACTATAGCACTCGCTGCCCCTCCCTGTGGCAGTTGTCTGCGGCATTTCCCCACTCTGAGTCACTCCCTCATCCCAAGAGCATTTGGTAACTGTCCCTGTTATAATTCTTGGTGATTTCTACAGCCGCCTAGCTAGTCCTTCCATCTGTTTGGATTCCTAGTTCCTTTTCCTCTTCTCTCTTGTCTTCCAGTCTTATTTTGTCACCCACTCCCCTAGTCATACCCTCAGACCTTGTCATTACCAGTAACTGCACCCTCTCCTCTTCTCAGGAATCCAACTCTTTAACTTCATCAGAATGTATGATCCATCAACCCTACTGCCTCTCTCTCAGCCCCTCATGTCTTCATTTCTTTACCTACTCATCTTAGATGCCATGGTCTGTCACCGTGGAACGGGTCCTCCCTTGCATGCCTCCTCAATGTGTTTGCATGGAGAACTCTTAACCCTGGTTAAATTAATGATTCTGCCTTTCTACCCTTACCCATATGGTCAATTGGGGCTTGAGAGAAAACACAACCCTGTCGACTGCCAGTCCTACTACATTTCTTCAGTACATGAATTCATGTTCTCCTGGAAAATTATTTTACACTAACTCTTCTCTTCACAAACCTCCAACAACTCCTCCCCATCCTTACTCTCAGATGATTTTCTTTTACACTGATTAAACAGAATTCAGAAAAGATCCTTCTTGCACACACTTTCACCGCCCTGTGTACCCGGTACCTGCATCTGTGCCTTGTGTGCTCTGCCTCCTTGACCTCTCTCTTCCTCTAGCAATCTATGTCCAATGTATCAGCAAATCCTACTGAATCTACTTTCAGAATATATCCAAAATCCATTCACTGCTCATCACCTCCAGTGTTACCCAAGCCACCCTAATCTCTTGCTTTAGTTTTCTATATTGTCTTCCTACTCTCTCTCCCACCCTCTGCTTCTCCCACAGTCAAGATCCCAAGTAAGTTGGTCCCCTCAAATAGCTTTCCATCTCTCTTCGAGTAACAGGCAAAGTCTTTATAGTGATTTTCAAGGCTCTCCACAGTCTGATTTCCCTTTGTACCCTGACTTCCTCTACCCCATGTGATCTCTTTGATGATCTATCACTCATCCCGTCATCCTCTCTGCTCTTGCCACTCTTGTATCTTCTGAGTGTTTCAAATTGCCAATCGCACTCCTGTCTCAGGGCCTTTGCACTTGCTATCCCCTCTGCCTGGAACACTCTTCCCCTACTTATGCTTATGCCTCTCCCCTTCAGGTCTCTCTTCAAACAGGAACCTTATTAGTGAGGCTTCTCCATCTTCTGCTTTATTTTATGCCATAGCATAAGCCATCTGACATTCTACATACTTTCTTTGTAATTTGTTTATTGCTTGTCTATTCGTTAGGAAATAAATCCTATGAATGCACGGAGTTTTGACTGTTTTATTCAGATCTAAATCCTTAGTGTCTAGGATAGGACATAGAGACTTACTAAATATTTATTAAATGGATGAATAAACATTTAATAGCACATTCTGATCCATTACACCATCTTTAACCTACTACAACTCAGCACGTGATAGACATTTGATAAAAGTCACTTGCACGCAATTTTCAGTGTGGGTTCTACTCAATACTTAAGGAATACTTTACCAGTTTGGGATGGGGTGTAATTAGTGTGAGTATATTGTTATGTTTCAAGTATAGATCTGTATTAACAGTGGCCTAATGAGTGTAATATCGTCTTGGTTTGTCAGCAATAATGACATTTTTTTCTCTTTTTGGAATTTGGTTTTATTGAACAGATTTAAATAAAACTTTTTTCAACAAGTGTTTATTGAATGGATGTCAGTCAATATGTTTAGTGGATTTATACCAGTGCCTGGCACATAGCAAGCAGCACAATAAAATGTTTCTTAGCAAATAAATGAAGTGCTACCCACTCTGTTAGGCATGCAAATATGTATATAGCTTGTATCCTGCCTTCA